AATATTTGCCAATAAACTCTCCATTCCTCGATATCTTCATTTAACAGGATTAACCCAACGATTTTCGTATATTTGCTTAAAATTTTTGTCGGATTTGTACGGGAAAAGAGTTCAATCTCTACGCCCAGTTGCAACACTTTTTCGATTTGGCCGTTGTTATTTAAATAAATGGAAAGTGGAATCCAAAATCCAACTAAATTTTCAGAATCCTTAAAATTTCTAAATATTTCCGGCAAAAGGAATATGAGAACAATAGCACTAATTTTACAACACAGATCAGCAAGGTTACTTTTCTCTTTACGTTTGATTACCATCTTTAAAAGATTTATTTTTTTCAAGAATTTGTTTCGTTCAAGCACGAGTTTTTATATAATAACGATTATTCTATTTTACCACTATGCCCTACATTATATCATTAGACTTTAGACATTTTGAGATGAAAAGCCAAATTATCTAAAATGTGCTGAAATATCTAAATGCATTGTTTTGTTTATGTCCTGAATTCTGAGATGACATTGAGTTATGTTTTTGTGAGAAATCAATTATTTAACAAAGAAATCCTGACCCGTCCAAAGCACAAATTTTTTTTCAGGAGCATTTTAACACCCACAATATGTATCCGGTAACGTCCTACACATTATCATTGTTAATCATTATGCAAATCGATATCGAATGGACAAATTCTTATTTATTGAGATGTAACAGTAATTGCATCCCAAATTAGAAATTCTTGTATAATTAGTGTAAATTGTTACATGGCACATTCTGTGAGTTTACTGACATGCGCACTTAACTCCATCAAGCTAACTTGTATTCTGCATACATGACATGTATTAAGCAAAACCCGTTTTCATTGTACCTACTGTATATTTTTAATATTAATAATCGTTCAAAATGAAAATGGTCATTTAAGATAAAAATGCATTCTATTTAATTTATTAAGCTATTTTTAGAATTTGAGATGATACACCTCAATATTATATTTCACATTTTCTTTTAATGATAACGAGAAAATCCAGTTTTCAATGGTTAGTACTCATTTAACGTAACGTTAATATTATTCACTTTTTCGTCATTGTTATTATTATTTTCAATTGCCTGAAGATTACAGTACAATATAAATGCAATGATATAGAGTAATAGGAAAATCATATACACGTCTTTTTCATGACGATGGTTATGCAATGTTAAATGAAGATGTCGAGGAATGGAGAGTTTATTGGCAAATATTGGATGATATCGCTTCGAGCAAATATACGAAA